CCCACACCCACACCCACACCCACCCGCACACACACACACACACACTCTTACTTAAACACATCATGAAATCATGACCGATTCTCTGTGCATGAAGGTGTCCAATGCTTGATGAGCCCTCCCTGCACCATGGACTTGAAAAGCTCGTAAGGCATCAGAACCGGTAGGTTTGTCCAGACAGGCGGTGACAATCGGACTGTTTTGTGCTTCTTCTTTGGCAATGTTTTGTTCATCGTCGCAGACCGCCGAAAACGAAATCGACCAACACGTTGCCGCTGTTTTTCACGGCGATGGTGTAGACGAGTATCTTTCATCAGGACCGGTATGCCATGGAGTGCACATATAATCGGGGCCTAAGTTGCAATCAGCAGCCTGGCCGAAATACCCGACCCTGTTACCACACCTGTTTTCGACAAGGCACATCGCTAGACTTGGAAGAAACAGCCCTGCGAAGTCGCTGTTCTATGTGTTGCGGCCGGCGACCACAAGCTCCCAGTTTCGCAGCCCATTGTGTACCTTAAATATGAAAACCAAAAGACTTTATATGCTGTCGTCCTATGCAGATCGCTCGCAACAGAACTGTAACAGCACCAGCACTGCGCACACAATGAACCAAGAAGCCAAGTCACTGCGTGAAACATTCTTGGGCCCGGATTCTCGGACCGCTGCACTTGCTACTTGCTGAAGCAGGCCACAACTCGCCCCGCGACCAATGTGCCACGAGACCACTCTCGACAGTTCACTATCATTCAACGAAAAGTCTTTCGAGGAAGGTTTTGTTTCGGACCTTCCTTCCCCAGTGCCAGACGCCTTTCCCAGGCTCTGAGCTAGGCACCGTGCCCTCCTCAACAGCATGGCACAGCGACCGGAACCCCCATGCTAAAGTGTTTTATTGATTGAAACTTCGAAGAATTCTGTGGCTTAGGGCTTTGGGGCGAAAGTTATTCTGGCTCTGAGAGTTCGGGCTCGGGTAAAAGGCATCGATATATTGGGGTTTAGTGGTTTCGAGTTCAAGAGTTGAAGAGGTATGGTTTATAGAGGCTTTGATACAGTGTTGGTTTTAAGGTTGAGGCTTTAGTATTTGGGTTCGTGGCAGTCACTTAATGGGGCATCATATTTCCTCGATACCTTATGGTCGCGAAAGCAAACACAGAGTCGAACACATTGGCTGCACTAAACAAGAAGCTCCAGCTGTACATTCTCTCCTGAGCACACCGGAGTTTTTTTTGTGCAGAAGCACCCATCGTAAGCTAGCAGGATGTATAGTGCTGAAGATATGTGCACTTGAAAGCAAACTCGAGGATGCGGCAAAACACGACAGCACTTCATACGTGATACGGGATCCCTCAAGCACATAGTTATTTGAAGTGTCATAAGCTATATGTCTTGTGGCGCATGTCGTTCCGCGGATAGTCACACGCGCTCTGCATGTGTTGCTCCCCATGCCAACACTCTTAACATGTCGAGTGTTGGCTCGGTCCCTTTCGGCCCAATAGACAGATCGGCACTATTTTCTTTGTGAGTTATAATCGAAGCCTGGCGGGGCCCACAAACCTTACTTACCACTGTCTGAACATCTGGCCACAGAAAACCCAACCTCTACACGGACGTTGCCGCCTTTGAGGCAGCCTTCGCCTTTTTGGCCGCGCCGGATTTCGCCGGTCGCTTTTCATTCTGGATCCTTATCAAGACATAGCAAACACCATGGTAGTATTCACATATGCGACAAGAAACCGCGTGCAATATTTCATATACTCCGCCAAGATGCAGCCCATTCGCCACCCGAACGTGCTTCTTGAATGCCTCCACATAGGGGGCTGCCTCAGGAATTCGGTCACTTAATTAGAACACAGAAAGAGAGACAGAGAGAGAGAGGGGTTTCATGCATTTAGTTTACCGTCGAGAAACCGTTTGCAGCACATTGCCAACATTTGCTCTGCATGGTGTTTTTCCCAGCTGCTGCAATGCCTTGCGACCCGCCCCTATGCCGCTCGAAGCATCTTGAATCAGATCGATGAGCTTCCCCTGGGATTCCAGGGCTTCCAACCTTAACGTGTTTTCGAGTCCGGATGAACAACGAAAACAGCAAATAAACGTGCTTCACAAAACTGAGCTGGCAAATATGAATCCATGCAGGGAGCTCGGCACAGACTCGAGTAGCCTGCCCACAAGCTGCATTCGCAGCTTGCACCCAGTTCTTCACGAATGCCTCCGTGTCGTCGCCACACACATGCAGCTCCAACTCCGATCCCTGCGTGCAGTCGAAATTGTTTTCAATTGCAGCCGCTATCCTCAAGCCTTGGTTTCCTAAAAATCATCAAACATTGGTTTTCCTAAAACACCGAACCTCGGGCTTTGCGGCACGTGCTTTCTTGTTCGCGGGCTGCTCAGTGTTTGTCGTCTGCGGGGAGCCATCGGCAATCGCGGTTTTATTCTGTTTTCCGTTTTTTGGCGGTGGCGGGAGTATGGCGGGGTCTGTGCCACCGGCAAGCACGGATGGCACCGCGCCGTTGCCACTCTCCAGCATAGCACACACAGATGCCGCATATGAGGGGTTGCAGCCGACATCAATCGCGATCTCGTCCTGGGCTGGCTAAAAGAGAGTTCAATATAAATAAATTAGGTCATATATTATATAGGTTTAGATATACGGGTCACAGGGCAGACTAGTAACGATGGTGCGGTTTGTCAGCTTCCGCTTCTGCCTGTCGTAGTACAGAAACGTCTCCGTGCCGGGATTGTTGCGGCACGTGGAAGTCCTTCATGATCGCACTAAGTTACAAGATGAGGAAATGCACATTGCATATTGTGTTAAAGTAAGGTATATGCATGATCGGTCCCGCGGGGTTCGGCACGACGCCGAGTGATAAACTGCAGGGCCACATCAGCATCACCGCCGTGGAATGCCACGATGTCTTTCCAAGGGTAGTATTCACCTAGAATGGGGTTTAGGTTTAGGGTTTAGGTTTAGGGTTTAGGGTTTATAGGGTTTAGGGTTCGGGGTAAGAGATCGTTCTATGGTATGTTCTGGTATCGTGATCGAAGCACCCAAGGTGCTTCCTTATACTGCCCGGCCGAACCCAAATTGTTTTAGATCCCGTAAATGGAGAAAGCCAAAACCCATCCTGGACCTGTAAGCCTCAGCCCCAAGCCATACAAAGCCCCGAAACCTGCATCCTCATCTGTCTCCTCACGCTGGCGCTTGAATCGCACGGCGCATTCGAGAGCGAGAGGATCACCTCGGCTCAGGAGCTCTGGGACATGGGCTTATTCAGTTTAGACGGGTGTTCACGTAGGGCCTTAGCTTAGGGTTGTAGGGGTTGAAGTTTGATAATTAGTTTCAGGTTTCGGGGTGTTCAATAAACCCCTTTTGCTTCAATTGCTTTTTTAGGTCCTAGAAGCAGCCGGTGAGCACGTACTTGGTAAAAGCCGCCATCCGTTTAGCTCCACCAGCATTCCAAGCCTTTTTGAGCTCTTCAGCCCCTGGGTTCTTCTCACAGAACCGCATGAACCCCTTCCACTCCGTCGGGTGGGATGAGCTGTTGACTCGGGTCGGGTCGATCGGTGCCGCCTTTGCTGGCGGGGGTGGGGCAGCGGCGGCGGGCGCTGGCAGCGGCGGGGGCGGGTCTGTCTTCGCTTGGGCTACGCGGTTGGATGGGGGCAGGGTTGGGCCGTTAACGCACTCTGCGGCAGCCGGGGCTTTGGCAGCATCAGCACTCTGGGTCGCACTCTGGGTGGGCGGTGCTTTCAAGCTCTCTGCAAGAGCCGTTAGCTTTGTCATATCGGGCGTGCCACCTTGAGCAGCCATTTGGGTGATCAAAGTTGCCAGCAAGGTTGCCATGGCGTCCTGGCGGTTGGGTGTGGCTGTTGCCTCGGCTTCGGTGGGCTTGTCTGGCACGGGGCGTGGCAACACTGAGCATGGAACAGCAGGTGGGCCTTTCGCGACCGCGGGCGTGGGTGGCTCGGTCTGCTTGGGTGCTTCGGGCGCTGTTGCGGTGGGCATGCTGGGCTCCGGTTGGGTCGCGTCCTGCTGCGTTGCCGGAAACGAGGATTCCGGGGCCGTCGTCGGTGAGGGGATCTGGGCGGAGCCAGTCTCATCAGGAAGAACCGGAGCGACTTGGGCGGTGTCGGGTTGTGGCGGCAAAGCGGCTGGTGAGCAGGGTTCCTGCTCAGCTGGGGCGGGACCCGCCATCGGGATCATGGTCAGGGGGGCTTTGCATGCACGGCATCGCTCACCTAGCTGCCTCACTTCTGCTGGCTGGTAGAACACCTGGCACAGAACACACACACACACCCGTGCTAGGGCTCGGGGATGCTACCGCAGGAGGGGGAGGTGCTGCAGTCGTCGGGTGTGCTGGTGATGGCGTGGTAGGGGCAGCTGGCGCGAGTGTTGGAGTGGGTGTTGGGGGTGGTGGGGCTGGTGTGCGGGTGGGTGGCGGTGCTGTGGTGGGCGGCGGTGTCGTGGTTGGTGGTGGTGCTGTGGTTGGTGGCGGCGTTGTTGGCGGCGGTGCTGTGGTTGGCGGCGGTGTTGTGGTTGGCGGCAGGTTGGGGGGCGTGTTTCTGGGTAGTGGTGGTGTCGCTGGGGGCGGCGCGGACAGGGGTGTTGGGGACGCGGCGGGTGTTGTGGGAGCCGGTGTCGGTGTTGGGGGTGGGGTGGCGGGTGTCGGTGTCGGCGTTGTGGGTGACGGCTGCACCGGGCTCTCCGTATAGCTGTCGAGCGAAATCGAGCTAGTCGAGCGGAAGCGGTTCCAAAAGCTCTTGTACTTAACCTGCTCCTCTTGGGAAATCTTCGGCAATGCATAGGGGTCTGTGTCCTTATGCAGGAAATTTCTTCTTGTGGTGACAGTCTCTGCAGGAATAAATGATTCATTGAAAATAAATAAGATCGTATTCTAAGCTTCTATAAGCATAGCTTACATAATAGAGCACCTAAGATGGGGGGTTAGGGCACAAGTCAGTGTTCTTCTGAGGTTTGGGTTGTGGTTTACTATATTGCTATACAATAATCATTAGAGTATTCATAAGAATGTACTTTAAGACCTTATGAAAGCCACAAAAGCCGAAACCAAAGTACTGAATCCGGCATTCGGGATCCTGCTGAACCGCCTTAGCAGCATCAACCCGTTTCCTCGTTGGCGGGATCATCTTGTTGACAACACTCGCAGCCGAAGCTTCAGGGGTCAGGGCCTGGGAGCCAGTTTTAGGAAGGATGAGACTAGCATTGGCCTTAATAACTATATCTACCCTCTATCCTGAACTTAACTTCTGAATATGACACACCCGGCCTGAACCACTCGACCCGCCAATGTTGTATCATCGAAAGATGCTGCATGTACTACACTGGACATTGATCGTCGTGGAACGGTGTCCCCCCCTACCTCAGCAGCGTTGTAAAGTCGATCCAGCTCTTAATGCATAGTGACATCAGCAACTGTTGTTGTGGTGCTACCCACAGAACGAATGGAATCCATTCGGGCCGGAGGTTGGTGGTGGGAAGGCTCAGACGCTTTAGGCATCGGAGGCAGGGGTCCTCGGACGGGTTCTAGGAGGCCCGTTTCGGGGTTCTCAGCCGATAAACCCGCAAACCCATCTCTAGAACCTGGCGAGTCATCGGCTGGGAAAACAAGCAAGCCGGGTCTCCGCAGCTGCTGGGGCGGCGGTGTCTCTGAAACCTGCTTAGGAAGTGCTGCGGGTGCCGGGGCGGGGGCAGGGGCCGGTGTTGGCGCAGGAGAGGGCGAACTCGCGGCGGCAGTGCCGCTCTCTGTCGAAGGCGTGGCGCCGCCCATCATGGCCGACCTATAGATGGGTTTGGGGCCTAGGTTTATGTGGGTGCGAAGTAAAAAGCAGCAACCGATTTAGTCATTATTTATGGATGAGTGGCATCTTCGATCTTACCAGTTCCTCCTGCTCGGGTGTTAGCCCTAGCTTGCCCAGCAATGCAGCATCGATTGCCGTAGCAATGTCCTCGGCTAAGGTTTGGATTGGGTTTTGGGTGTTAAGGGTTATATCGGTTAATGCATCGAGAACATGAAACCATTAAGTGTGGTAGAGTGGCCGGGTTGGGAGGCTCTGCTGCAGGAGCAGCAGCTTTCTTGCCTGGAGCCTTTTTAGCCATCGCTTGGCCCGAGGTCCAGACCGTAAATCCTAAAATCACTAAACATAAACCACAATTGCCGCGGAACGAGTATGCGTTGGCTCCAGTAACCGACAGCTGCCTGAAACGAAGGATACAGGATGCATGCATGGTGGTATTGTGTGTTGCTCTTCACTATTTTGACACAGTTTCCCGCGGTTTGAACAGGGTTTGGACACGTTTTGGACAATAATTCCCGAGAGGGCGGCTAAGTGTGTTGCTCTTCACTAATTTGACGCAATTTCCCGCAGTTTGGACACGTTTTGGACACATTTTGGACATCCTATCCCGGACCCCTCTGCAACCGTTGTTGCACCCTCCCAGACCCTTCCCGAGCCTCATAGAGAACAAATTATGGTCTCGAACCCCCATATAATTAAGCGATTTGGTATATTTTAATCCACTAAAGGATACAACTCTAGGCGTTTGTGTGGTTTCGGGTACACAATGTCAAAGTTCGGGCTAAGCTTTATCCCTTCCTTTGCACGAGTAGCCTTCCCCCGGCAGTTGTACGTAGGATTGTGAAACCTATGCCAAGCATTCCAGCACCCATCATGGGAATTCAGATGGCCAAGATCTCGGGAGAGCAAGTTTCCCACTCGTCTTCATGAAATTCACGATGTCAAGTAGATCAGCCTTGGCGGGCAGATTCAATATTGTGGCTGTTGTATTCACATAGGGAAATGCTCAGGGTTATTCCTGGACAAGCTACGTCTTCGTGCCAGTCAATAGGGGATGCGAACAGCACTCTGATTTGCTCGTCTGCGTCGTAGGTTGGGTCGCCCGCGGCTGCGAACATTTCCGGGAAGCTGCGTGCTTCCTGACATCCAAGACAGTCTCCAGCCTTGGGTCGCATTAGGGTTTAGGGTTTAGGGCTTAGATCGAGGGGTCGAGAAAACCCGAACCCTAAAGCCTCAATCCTTGAGATCCTATATAGAAGCCCCCGGACCCAAAACACTTGGGTGCGATGCTGAATCTAAGCTGGTGACCCGATATACACAGATCTACGTAGATCCGGGATTTTGTGGGAGTTTCGAAGGCTTGTGATTTGGGGCTTTAGATTAGGTTTTTCTCAGATCTGTACGTTCGGGATTTTGTGGGAGTTTCGGTGGCTCGTGATTTGGTGCTTCAGGCTTCTGGGCTTATAGTGTTGAGGTTTTCAGAAATTCGGCTTTTAGTGTCTGGGGTTTAGACCTTCGGAGTTCATTGGCTAGGCTTTTTTACGGGTATGGGTTCTTAAGCTTTAGGAATTGAGTCATCTGTCCAACAAGCCGAAATCAAGTACTATAGCCGAAACTACACGTCTCTGTAGTCCCTCGATGTAAGGCACAATGCACTAGACCGTGTGATTGGTATTTCACTACTCAGAGCTGAAACTGCGATCTTTGCGGTTCTCGCAAATTTTCCGTGTATATATATATATATATGTATATGTATATGTATATGTATATGTATATGTATATGTGCGATAAATTATTGAAGGGTTTGGACTTCGGTTTGCCCTTCCTGAAGCCGTACAGGAGAAACCCGAACATAGCTTGCGGCAAACGAGACAGCTCAGTGTTTAGGGCTTGGGTGTGTTCAGGGTTATATATAGTAGGGGAGTGGGCTTATCGTGGAGTTCTATAGTGTCTCTAGTGTGCGTGACCTAGATGCTGTAGGTTCGGTGAATAAAACCTAATCTAAAACCCTGACACGTACAGCCGAAACCCTCAACCCTTAATATAAAACCCTACCCTGCAAACCTTAGCCCGACTCCTTGGACACTCAACAAACCCATCGGCCTTGCATCCCGCGGCCCATGTGGCCAAAACATCTTTCGCGAACTGGTCGGTGAACTGCCTGGGTGTTAGGATTTGCCGCTTGTGTACGGGGCTTTGTCCCGAATTCCTATAGGGTCCTAGACTTCATACATCCATAAATTTTCCCGTCAATCAAGCCAAAGTCCTGAATCCAAATCCGAGAAGCTGTGTGCTGCCGAGCTCTTTGGTGCCCGTGACCGTCTGTTTGCCACTCGCCTCAGTTGATGGTGGCAACAAGTGGCAAAGTGGGTGTATGGTGTGCGTGTTGAGCTTCGGTTAATGTTGTGATTGTGGCTGAGAAACTGTGGTAGCTCTTTTCACAATGGTTTTCTTCACCTTCTTGAAGTCCGGCTGGGCATGGGTAGCACGGGTCGTTGACAAACGAGCTAGTTCCTGCAAGTGTAGTTTCTGCACAAACCTCCGGCATAGTGTTGCAGGGCAAGGTCCTGAAAGGCGGCATGCTGGGAGTATAGATGGGATGGCTTTGGTGTAGAAGCTCCAAAGGATGCCATATGAATTTTGAAACGATAGACCTTGGGACACGGCGCTCTTGTAACAATTACAAAAAACTCCGTCGGCTATGAAAAGCGGTGTGCTCAGACTCGTACAATGTTTTCATGTATCATCTGCTGGAAGCGGGACGTGGCTTCCATGCCACCGGTGCAGTGATGAACGGGCTGTTCCACCAGGGTGAAGATCTTCATTGCACGAGCCAAGCGGAACAGCAGGATGCTCCTGTTGTAAAGTCTAAACTGCTTATACTGGCGACCCACACAAATACACCGCCAAAATCAACAATCTTGTTCAACATCTGGCCTCCTAGATAGCAGGTTCCCTAAACGTACAGACGGGCGATCTTGTAAACCTTCAGGAAGTAGCACATCTCGTCCCGATGTGTACATGTTCATCATGGTAAAGGACGAGCCTCGGCATTTGTGGGAGATCTTCTATTATTCCCTATTGGGGCTACGTCAGCGGCTCTGTAGAAAATTTGGGGCGTGGAAAGTTCTAGGTTATAAAGGTGGGCAAGATCTCAGGCCTCTCTGGATGATTAGGCTAGCATCTGCTTTGGGGTGTGTTTTATAGCTTACGAATTAGCGGTCCCGGAGTTGAGGGTTTACGGCTTGGGAAATAGGGGTGTAGGGGTGTAGTGTGGAGTGTTGACAAAGACGGTGCTAGAATGCGGGTCTCCCACAAAGCCGGCTGGCGCTTTCCTCCAAGATGGGATTGTACTGTCACTCGAGCTTCAGTCCTGGTTTACTCTTGTGATAGCAAGAGAATGTCCTAGACGGTAAGTTACAAGATGAATGGTTTTGGGTAAGAATAGCCTACCTAATAATTAATAAAGTCATAGCCTACCTATAGTCTCCATTGTAGCTCCTTTTTGGGGTTACCTTTTAATTTAGGAACCTTAGTATAATATTGATTAAACCCAAAAAAGGAATTACAATGGAGACTATAGGCATAATTAGTTGATTCAGACTACCTAAGTCATGTTGCAGGAACAGTCGGATTCGCATAGAACCCATCAGATGTCTTGCTTACTTCATGAAGCTAGTATATAAGACCGAAAGTTCCCCAACACTCCTACTATACGTGACCCCACAATGCGAACAGCCAACTCTATGTGCTAGGCTCCCAGAAAAAAAAGCCCGTCTGCCCACAACAGCTGCGTGACATACTGGAGCCATTACGAGCAATCCTCCTTTGCGTAGTCGACGTAGGTAGCCCAATGCTAGCCTCGGCCAAGGACGGCAGATCTATGCGACGAAGGTTTTGGCCTCTAGCCGCAATACAATGGTTGCTTCATTTGGCTTGAGTTAGGTCTGATGGGGGAAGGGACTAAATAACAAGCCGGGCGTAAACAAAACCCTACACCTTAAACCCTAAAACCCTAAAACCCTAAACCCTAGAACCCTAAATCCTAAACCCTAAACCCTAAAATCCTAACCCCTAAACCCTAAACCCCTAAACCCCTAAACCCTAAACCCCCATTCGGGCTTCGAGTTTATCGAGCATGCCGAAGCCTTAAATTAGTGACACGTATTGATATATTGTTGCAACGAGGCACATAAATCCCCAGGGACGAGCCATGTCATTGGTGGCCGAGTATTCGATGTCTAACCCTCTGGCCTGAAGACCTTGATGTTGTGCTTCCTTCCAGATGGCCTCAGTCATGTGGTACTATAATACGTATCAGCATAGGGCTCGATTACAGCTATAGGCGGATGAGTGCAATCGGGCAGCCCCCACCCCAGCGAAGATTTCCAACACATCGATGTTGCCCCAGCGGCGCTCCTAGGGTAGTCACATGTAGGTTTGTTGGTTTGTGCATGCAAGGCAAGCAATCCTTAGAACTAGCAGTAATTTCGTTGGCATATGACAATGCGGGCAAGCATCTGTACCACTCATGTAGCACATCATGAATAGGATGACAACGAGACACCTGGGCCTCAGTTCATGATTTAGCAGGTACTATTTCCCGAAATAAGGACAAGAAGCGTAGCAAGCCGACACAACCACAACTAAGCCCTGGACACACCGCATCGGATCAGATTGTTCACACGGGGTCGCGGTCCATTCGTCATCACGGACCCACGATCCAGGAAGTTTTATAGTTTACAATTGATTACTCGCGGAAGACATACTACACCATTGTACTAGGGCCTGGTCTGAACCCATCTGAACGACCCTTTTGCCTAGCATAGATATAGATGCCCACTTGAACAAACTATGCTCCTAATCGTCGCACTATGAACTTCAAACTCCGAGAAGAGTAGAACTCCCGCGTTCAGGCACACATGCATCGGCAGACAAAGAAGAGACAGGTGTGATGGTCCCGCTTTTCCTTCCCCGAATGTTGGTCCTCAGCCATACACGGGTCCCCATAAGCCACATAATTCAGCCGGCTGCACATGAAGAGCACGGGTATCCAGCTCCAGCCAAGGCTCCATGTGTATGCGTCATCTAGATGACACACACACACACAGACAAACTACGGACATGCAGAGCATGTCGAGAAAAGCCCCTGTGTCACCCTACGACCATAACACAACAAACTTCATATAAGCATCCCACGTTGCGTGTAGCATCGTCGTGCGGAGCCTAGTTCAGGCGCCTTTTCTTCTTCTCCTTCTCCGACAGCTGGCTGATCAGGACCCTCGGACTAACGAGTTTGGGGGTGGGGGCGGGGGGGGGTGTAAATCCGAGGTTTCATTCACATCCCACCCAAGCAAGTAGCAAAGTAGGCACCGGTGTCGGACGGTGCATGCCAAGATTCATACGGATCGCGGAGTGCTTCCAGAGGGCATTGGCCTCCTTAGTTGTGCCAAGACTTGATGTACGATTGACTGACATACCCTCTTAGTTCCTTCATATATAGTTCATGTGCACAGCAATCAGCCGGGTCTCTGTTTGAGACTTGCCATGGTCTTGCTTTGCCGACCTTCGAGATTTTTTGAGCATGGATGTCGCTTGCAACCGTCGGTACATGTGGTGACACAAGCCTGAGGAAAGCTTGATAAGCTGTCCAAAGCGGACCATTATCTTGTGACTTCGTCTGCTTGGCACCATCATCTGCCGTTTCCTCCTAGCAGACATTACTCCAGCAGTACAACATACATACAAGCACACACAACATACTCCAGTCTCCTGCGGGTCGGATTTTGGGACAGGCTTAGCCTTGCCGACGACTCGGCCTGTAGCTCACAGTGCCCTACACAGTGTCCATGTCCATCACGAAAAGAGCACAGTCATCACAATAATTCTCAACCGGCAAACGCGTAGGTGCGGTAGATCCGGCAGATTGAGCTGGTGCAGCCGCAGGAGAATCACCGCCTCAAGTCCCGAATGATAGACTTTAACCTGGTTAGCATGTCCCACGTTATCCGAGGATCCGGGTGGCTTTGCTGCGGCTGGAGCTTCTCCCGAACCTGCCGCCGGTTTTTAGGGTTTTTAGGGGTTTTGTATAGTCTAGGGTTTAGACTAGGGTTTAGAGTAGTGGTCTAGGGTAGTGTCGAATACCGTTCCACGGAACTTGACCGGAATAATATAGTAGTTGGCTCATATCTAGGTCTACAAGTGAAAATTTAGTTATCGGGCCGATAATACGATTTCCCCTGATCCCCCGCAATAGGTAGGGTTTACAACACTGCAGGTTGGAATTGCATATACACAGATATCAAAAAAAGAGAGGGACCCACAACAAACCCTTCGAACCCTGAAACCCCCAAGCCCGTATATGCAGCTGAAATAACAAACCTGGCGCTAGACAGTCAACTCAAGTTTCAATATAGCAGCCCAATGTGTAGCAACATCATTAATTTTAAAAACCTAGAAGCCACAAGACCCCGAGCTCGTATGAAGGAGTCACTCCCAATGGTCAAGCATCACAATCACCATCCCCACCCCAACCCGTAAGTGAAGCCACCAATCCGGGGTAATTGCTGGAAACCTCTCCGACCTGTATGGCCCCTCGGGCTTTGCAGTTGGGGTCGATAGAGGTCTAGATGTTTGGGGTTGAAGCCTTCTACAATCTCGGGATTACAGCCATTAGCTTTGTTCGTAGGACCATGAGAGTAGGGGCGAGGGGTTTTAAGGATTTGTTTAACCCCCCGGAGCTTTCGGGTTTGCAAGGCTGAGTCGAGTTAAGGTCCTACGAAAACGTGGGCTTAGCTTCGATAGCTTTGAGGGTTTAAGGTTTGGGCTTATGTGACCTAAGGTTTAATTCGATGCAGGGTTTAGGTTGCAGGTAGGTTTTCAACTCGAAGATGTGGAACTAAGTGGATTTAGTGCTCGAGGCTTATGCGGGCCTAGTTTTCTGCTATCTATGGGGGCTCGCAAAAGGCACAGTCCAGCACAGGAATAGCTCATAAGTAGTGCCTTCAGCATCAGCATCGTCAGCGGCAGCATCTTCTCCGGGAGGTTCCAGTGCCGAGGGTTCCTCGTGTCCTGTTGGCAATCGTGCTGTCTAAATATTTGTGTGGGAATTTCCAACACAACTTTTCTAAACACGCTAGGGCACTCGGGTTCTTCTTCTGGGAAACCAGCTGCTTGAATTTTTTCTTGTGCTGCATGGTGGGGTCCACTGTCATATTCTGCACAACAATCCCAGCCAAGACATCTCCCAAGAACGACGGCCGGCTTAGAGACGGAACCATCGGTCCTGCCCAGGGCAAAGTCTCCATCTCGTCAGGACTTGGAACATTCGTACTTCCTGCCGACGGCCATTCGTATCGTGTTTAGCAGCATGCTCGATACAGAAAAACTTTACACTAAGATACCCTGTATAAATTTGTCCATGTCCTCCTGACTTCACCGACCCATCCGGCTCCACAGGAGACGGCTGGTCTCCGACTTGACCATCGTGTGTTTGCTTCTTCTTAGGCCGCACAAACTTCTTAGCCAACAGCTCGTACCCGCAAGCGGCCTCGAACTCATCGGGACAACCGGTCAAACCCTTGTTCTATCCCGTACCGCATACCGCATCCCCTGCACCACCTGCCTTGAGGTCAGCCAGCCACTTTTTTCGCGCCCCGCGCGTTTTCTTCGTCTCGCGGATAACGAAGTTTGCCTAAGCGATCAATTGCAAATCTCAGTAGTTGAACCTCGCTTTCATTCCCCGCATTGATGAATGCGGCCGAGAAGCCAACCCCTTAAGAGCTCCTGCTTGCTTGTGAGCCAACTCCTCATTCGCTTTGTCCTGAATGACATCGAGGCAACCGATCAATCCAAAAAAACCACGAAGCTTAGGATACACTACTTGATGTCTGGTGTCCCCATACTTCTGGCCAATGCAATAGGCAAGCTGGTCGACCGTCAAAACTCGTCCGGCCCGAGTAAAGCCTTGCAGCGTCCTTGGTTTAGAAACTACAGGAAAACTGCACAGTTTTACAAAGTCACGGCTGCGAAACTCATTAGTGATGCAAAGCCAAACCTAGAGAAAGTTGGGAGACGCCAGCACCAAGTTGAAGTTGTCGAAGAGAAATTTGCTGCGTGTCTCTGCTCCTACATCGTCCATGCCCTCATGCGGGACCAGGGTATAGTCGATATCCAAAAACGTCTCCTCAAGGTGAAACGTAGAACCACTGCAGCAGGTACTGAGAAAACGTCTGCACTACATTCCGGTTCTAACCTGAAGTAAGCAAAAAAACCCATCACGATGCATTCTGTGTCTGAAGCCCCTGGCTGTCCTGTTCATGAGAAATCTCACTCCAGGCACTGTTCAGAATATCGGCATGGCCACTCTGGAGGAAGTTCTCAAAAGCTTTGTCCGCCATGGCTGATGCCACGAGAGCGCTCCAAAGCTGACTAGACTACACGCACGACGACACTGCCCTATAGCATCGCAAGTTAACACGGCCTATATTGCACATTTTCCTGGCGAATGCCTGTTCGCAGTTTGTTGCTGCGGTACCTCAAACACACAACCACGTAGAGATACAGACACCTTTTCATTATCTAGTAATCTACATCGACGTAACATCGATATATATATACACACATACACACCAAACAAGTGCTAACACGGACACAGACACAAACCCACACAAACACAGACACACTCACACCCACACAGACGCAAGAGCAGCTGCTCGGTGAAAAGGTGAACATGCAGAAGGCGGCTGAGACTACCCTAATTACATTCATCCAGAAAGCCATTGTTTAATCCATCTGTTCCAAGATTACTCAAGAACTTCATAGCATAATCTCGGTCGCCCCCATGCAAGTATGCCCAAACTTTTTCATGTTAACTGCAAGGTTCGAAGCAGGTATGAACAAGATACACAAACCCCGGTGATGCATCCATGGCTGCACCCTCTCCTCCCAATGCCTCATTCAAGCACAACTTGTGACCCCTGAACTCTCTAATCAAGGCGGCCTCCAAGAAGGCAGCTGCTTCCATACTTCGGACTATAGCTATCATCACCATGGTCGTGAAGATCTCTGCTGCATACGCATAACCGAAAGACGGGTTAAACCACCTGAAGCCCGGATCTGAAGTGATGCCTATCTTGAAATGGGCCCCACGCGCTGCTACTCCGGAAATGAGAGCAACACAGTGCTTCAGTACGGCCGATGCCAACTTCGCTTTCGGCAACCGCAGATCGAAACAACTGCTGCTTGGATTGGCATTTAACCTATCCATAACGCTGTGGAGATTCGGTATGGAAAGTAGACTAGAGTCACATTGAGCAACTTTCCAACGCCAAGCATTGCACGACGCTTGCATCCCTTCAATCATGCATGACGCGATCCCTTCTACCTTCGCGACTCGTCTCTTCTTGCACAATGGAAATGCAAAGTTTTGAGGGATCACTTCTTCTTCGACAGGTTCCTCGGTAGACTTGTTATTACGCAAAGGTGGCGGTTCGTCCCTCGAAGGGTCAAGCAGGAAGCTAGCAAGGCGCTCAAGTCTATCCATCGTTCCATGCAACCAAGATCGTGGATGCACGCAGACACACACTCACACTCACGCATATACATACAAACATACAAAAACGTATCATATGTATACCGTGCAAGAATCCAACATTTGTGTGATAACTAACCAGCACTTACAGCCTAGATGGCTCCCGGCAACAAATCATGATGCCATGCAATATGTACATGTATAGAAACACATATGTGTACATGCAGCCAGTACATCACCATGTGCATTCGTCCGGACGGCACAGAAATTATGCACGTAATCCTGCAAACAGTGAGAATCCAGACACTCTTCCATCAACGACATGCAGGCAGCAGGAACCGAATGCGTGAATTCACCCAGAGTGTGAGCTTTAACAGGTTCAATCTACAATAGATCGGTACGCAAGACACCCCAAACGCAACATTTCTCAGGACATCCCAGGAAGAAAAGCCATGCAAGAACCCATGCGCGTCGGTATCTCTCGAGAACTCGCCATGTGTTCCAAAATCACAAACAGTCGCGAGATTAAGAATCAAGAACATGCCGCATGCTAGCAATCTATCGCATAATCTAGGATCGATTTCGACATAGCACCGAAGCATTTGCAAGGTACATCTGAACGATTTCTTACAATACAGAACAAATGTTATCCGAAACAGCGGGCCCACGGAACGGAACGGAACGATGAGGGGGGTGGAAGAGTCTGGGACAGGTTTCTCATATGTTTAAAGTATCCAAAGGACACTTTTTTGAAAGGACAGAATTACGTAACGCTGTTTTTTGCCCAAAGGACAAAAAGCTCTTTGCGGACACTTTTTTGGAAAGGACAGGCCTGCAGGTGTGGTCGCCATGGGAAAGTCCAGC